AATTCTTGAAATAAGACAACAATTTCTTGCCTCATACTCAAAATTCACTCAGCACGTCACAGTTCCAGCACTTCATAAGTCTTTATTCAACGTAAGAATAAATATATCACTAACTCATTAATATACATAAGTAGCAATGGACAAGATGGCTGGAGCTAGATCCTAGGCACGGGGCTTTACAAACAGTAAGCGTCCGATTCGATTTCCCAAGAAATCGATTCTAATCGATTCGGTGTAAGTTCAATAACTTTTAATGTCATTCTCTTCTAATGAAATGGGCACATCTGAAGTCCGCGTATTGAAATAAAATTATATAAAATTCTGACACAACGTAAGAGACAAATTTCTGTGAGTTACATTTTTCAATCACTTGCCTTCACAAACGTTATTTAACCATCAAAAGTTCACTGCTTAAAATTAATTCATACAACATTTACTGAACGTTCACAAAAATTTAGGAATAATTTCGTAAGGATTTTTTTTTCTAATTTCAAGAGACAACCAACAGAATAATAAGCCCTTAGAAGCAACACACATCTGTTTCGTTCTATATCAGTGATTGAACAGTTATTGCAGAACTTTTAACCACGTTTCGAGTCAGTTTTTTTCGAATTCAACGACGACACATATCATCACAACTCAGAAATAAGCGGGCATACATCCGTGCCTCAAGTGGGATTCGAACCCACGATCCGTACAATTAAGATGAGGTAACAATCCAATGTCGTCACTAATAGTCACAGTTTCGTTTACGCTTAAAATAATCTTTCCTTGAACCTGTTAAATTTTCTGATTTCTTCCGACGTCTTGAAGCAAAATTATACTGGACTACCTTGCAAATGGAGAAGTCAGTGTCCTTCTTATTTTATTGCTACTCATATTTATTAATCACTTATGTATATATATATATATATCCATATATTTGTAAAAATAAAAATTGGTTTAATACGCAAACCAATCATAAATGTTCACACCGACCAGTTTAAATTATTATAATATCCCGTAAACACAGATTTGCAGAAAATCAACACATTCCTGATTTGAAGTCGGAAAATTCAACACAACGGAAACTAAATATCACTCAGTAGTGTAAGTCCGAAGTTAGTTGTCTACTGGGCCGTAAGCCTACAACCCAGAAGACATCAAAATATCACTCTTCAATTCCGGTCTTGTTCAACGGAGAATTATTTCGTCACGTGTACATTTTACAGTAATTCTGAAATGTAACTAAGTTTTTTACGAAGAGCAGATACCAAATCTACGTCATGTTTATCATTTAAACACGATGTTTTTCCCATGTACCTGGGACAAAGCGTTGTATTCGGAAGAAATTTTAAATCAGCACGTTTTAAAATCTTCCTAGGCTCATCTATTCACTTCACAATTAATGTTCACCTTAAAACACGCACTTCTAATTATAAGCTAACCCAAGTCATTCTATTAAAGCGTCAAATGTAAAATCACGCACGACGTCCGCCGACTTCCGACGATCAGGTACCACGTCGCAAAGGAATCGCCCGCTCCCAGTCCCGACGCAGACGCCGCGGAAGGAAATACCGTTGAGTCGCCAGCTCAGCTACTTACGTATCGATATCTGCCGACCACGAAGTCTGAACCATTTGCGATTATATAATTCCAAGAATAATAACCATAAAAAAAGATAACTTATACTGAAAATGTTACCGAAACTACACGTCATGGGATGTGACGTTCGTAGTAACTTTCGAAAAGTCATAAATGAACCGTCAATCAACATCAGTGACCTTAAGACACTTTTTAATGAGTCTCAAATAAAAATATTCATCGATATAAAAGAAATTACAGAAAAATTTAAAGCAGAAATTAACCAAACGACGAAATCTGAAAACGTAAGACGTAATTTTGAACACGCAGTTAACATGACAGCGCCAAGATCTTCGGTTTCTAATTACAAATTAAACGGTTCACTAAATTACAAAAAAAATCACGAAGCCCGTATTAATAATTTAAGAATTTTTAATGTCGATTCTCAATTTTTTATTCCGTTGTATAAAAATCTTGATAAATTAACTTATATTTAAGTTTACGTAAACACATTTAAAACGTGATTTTTTTTAAAAAATTAGCTCTTACTTACGCGTATTTTAGAAGTATTTTAAAACACTCTGACCCCAAAAACAGGGAAAACGTGGGCCAGTCTCAAATCCACTAAAAAATAAACCGAAATACACAGGGCCTGTGGGTTATAAGCGGGAAACAAATGAACGAGGGATAACGTAATAAATGCAACAGAACTTCTATGGTATATCACTTTTCGTAAAATATATTTGTTACCAGAAAAAGATTTTTACGTAAAAAAAAATTAATCTTCACATAAAATATTTGCTTATGCAAAGGAATAATTATTGTTAAGTGTGTTATTAATAATTACCGATCGTAGAAGAATCTGAAATCTCAATAACTGAAAGGTTTACAGGGAGTTAACGCGATTTCAGTATTTTAATTCTATGTATCACGTGATTTCGACAAACAGCTACCAAAACCAGGAAAGGGACGTTCCTCGTGGAGGGTTCGTGAGTTTTAGATTTACATAATTTTACACGAAGTTTCTTCCTTCGTACTTTTAACTTATAATGAACTATTTAGCGCGTATTTTGTTACGTTCTGAGAGACGAGGTTTCGTGAATTTCAAAGAATAATCAAATTTTCACCACCAATAATCACGGATAATAAAATAACTCCGCTAATTTCCTCTATGTTTTCAAAACTTATGATTTATCTTCAGTAATAAGGGGTTACATACGTGAGAAAAATACGTAACTTACTTCACATTTGTTGATGACTAGAAATATAAATCAAAAATTTTCATTCCCATATCTCAACGTAAACTTTCTAACTCCTTGTCTGTAAGTACGACAAACAGTAACTTAATTCTATAATCATAAAGTTTAATGACGTCTTTGTTTAATGACAAAGCAAACTTATTGTTAATATTATCGCATTTAATTAGGATTATCAACGAGATGATGCTTCAACCGAGAAATCAAACGCGGATATTTTAACGCGTGAGGTTTTCAGAAACAAAAATTTCATCGCAAATTCACGCCCTAATACGAGGTTAACAGAAACGACGTTTAGAAACTAATTTACATAAAACATTTGTAAATTATATTTACGAAGCCAATCGAACGATTATCGTATCTTATAACAGTTATGCATCAAATACGCGTTGCTTCGACTAATACAAGTCGAATCGAGCTGTAAAAATTTATAAAATTTATTGATTATTTAACGACGCTTCTAGGAACTCAGACTACAGCTTATGAAAGTATGATTCACGAATTAAAAAATTATGAAGATGTGGAAAGAAACGGTCGTGGCCTAATTTAAGGTCCTATTCCGGTATTTGCGTGGAGGGCCTTCGGAAAAACTATAAATCTCAGTCGGAATAGCTGATATCTGAGTTCATGATAACAGAATACAAGGTCTACTATGATTTTATCGCAAGTTATTATTAATTATGCTATAAAATTGCTAATTTCTATTTTTATCGTGTTTATTATGATCTAAGGGAGATAAAGAATTTGGTACAGACTTCGTTGTTGTTAAAAACACAGGTTTTAATTTTAAATATTAAAATAAATACCCTGATAGAATGAGAAGCCTACACGGTGTACAAAAAATTATAATCAAAACAATTATCAATAAAACTACGTTCTTCCAGTCATAGGGATGTCTCTGGTTATAGTATTCCCCCTTCCCACGAAGACACGCAATCCCGACAAAGATATTTCGTAGATTTCCTCAGTTACTCCTGAAAATTATGGGGAAGTGCCCACACGTAAGCCAAGACATTCTTACAAATTCATTGCGATGATGGAGTCTCTAAATAAATTAAGAAAAAAATACTTATAGAATGTAATGAGTCACATTAAGAGTTCAAAGAGGTGCAAATCGATATATGGATCGTTGCTAATAAAATAGCATAGTTGTTAAGTTATCGCTGACTGCCTGGTGTATTAGAACGTATCAGAACCGATTCAAGGCGCTTTGTCCGATAACGCGAGAGGTTTCCGAACGCTGACGTACGTACAATTCGAAGTTAGAGACGGAAAATTCTTCTCGACAGCGAAGTGAAGTTCGTCTGACTTCTTAAGACCACTCTAAGGGATATCTGTTAACATTTGTCTTTATCACATTGCCGAAATGAACCGAATTTATGATTTTAAGCAATTCTTTTAACGTTACGAAAGTTTAAGCTGTGTTAATATGTTAATCGAGATGTAACTTTTTTTTAGAAATTTCGAACATCACAAAACAGAAGACGATAAAATTATGTTACACTACAGGAGAACGCAATTTTATATTAATTTTAGAACATTCAAATTGTTATGGCGTATTACATCGTGCGAACTCAAATATTGTGCGCAAATATTTATGTAATATATCGTATAAATCTTAAAATTAAAAGCTTAGAAACGCAAAGGGAACATTAAAATTAACAGTTGAGTACAAGAACGAGTCTAAACCTGTACTTTACGCTTCGACGTTAAGAGTCCGGGCGGCTAATACGAACGCGTAGCGTTAGAAAAAAATTAGAATCAGGTGTAAACGAATATAGAAGTGGGATTCATCGATTAAACACAAGTTAGTTGCCAGTTTTCACAAATTTCTTCATGAAAAATAACGAAAACATGTTCCTCAAGGCATACGAAGCGAGATTTTACTATTCGGAACGTAAAAGCGAGCTGAAACTAACGTGTACTCCTAGGAGTGATCAATATTTTAACTATGATTCGTGTTTTACATAAGATAAAAGCATCCAGTGAAAGGAAAAACATTCATTCAAAACGTTAATACGAAATGTGTTAACTCTACAATGTTTTATATCCAAGATACTGAATTTAATTGTTATTTTTAAATAAATTAAGACTTGTCAGACGTTCTAGTGTGTTATTTAAGATTAAATCCCAGTTTAATGAAATAAAGTGTTATTCGCAAAATAAACACTTTTTTAATACCTTACGTGAAACGATAACCATCAAAAAGACGAATCTGCAAGTTAACTCGACTCGACCCTAGAATATCATAACTTGTGAATTGTCGTCTGCACCAAAACACCAAACAACTTCCACCTGCAACCATAAAACAATGGTCTTAATCCTCCACTCTCTGTCTCTGACAGAAAACCTCAGCAGACAACAATTGTAATTTAACGGTAAAATTCTTTTTTAAAAAAAAATATATATACCGACTTCGACAACAATGATATTTTCCGTGGATATTCTCATAGACACGAAGATCTTTAACCCGTGATAACAGCACAGACACAAAGGTAAACGAAGTCGATGGCATTTACCCCAGCCTGACAATGACACAGATAAAAACAGAAAAATACTTGGCCACGTAAAGCTAAAGAATTCCTTAATAACATCTTACGTACATTTCATGACTGTCAAATTGGTACGCGTGGATTATGACGTCATTGACAGTAAACAAATGCGATCCTATAAGCGAAGTTTTTGTTTTAATCTATAAACACTAAAAGCTGATTACGAAGAAACAGGAATATTAGTTCCATCACATCACGTTCTGTTACATAAGTAACAACTAACAGTGCTTTATACGTCAACAATGGATCAATAAAATTACGTAAGCGATGATATTACCGGAAAGGCACGTCCTACAAGTGACCGGACGTGTTCCTAAAAGTCTCAAGTTACAGACCGGCAAACCTTCCGACTTACATGTGATATTCTAAATGACATTCAGCGAGTTAATTTACTCACGTTGATCGATACAAAGTCCTGAGTTGGCAACAATGCGTCAAAAATCTTCAAAGTACAAAACAAACAAAGAATATTTGACAAGGCAGCACAGGGAGGAGTTCTGGGTTCATGTCCTTCCAACATGTGGGGGGTCACACACTAAGACTCGTCCTTAGAGGTCGGAAGATATGACGTCAGAGGAACGGAGACTAATCGGAGAAGTCCCTCCCCTCCACTTCTTCAACCCCCTCCTACTCCACAACTCGACCCCCCCCTCCCCACACACGGTCCTTGCCAGTCCGAGAAAAGTCCGGAAGCCGGACCAAAGGTCTGTCTATCCATCTGACGATTTTCAAAGGTGAATCAGCGACTGACAGACAGACAGACTGGGGAAAGAGAGAGATAGAGGACGGAGGTTAAAACTTTTACCTGCACTGGCCTCCAACGCGGCTCCAACATACTCCTATTCCCCTGACCGGAGCCTGACAGCAGCGCCTTACGGAATGTGTAGTCGGTGGCGCCAGCGAAGTGGAGTGTCGAATTGAAAGCTGCTGATTCTCTTGCCTGAGAGAATTCCCGACTGCTTCTGATTTCGTGGAGCCTGCCTGTCTTGCGAACTTGCCAGTGTAGTGGCAGATACACCGGCGCGTTCTACACCACGCGGGCCGCCAGTCTCCGCTCTCGGCACACGTCGGTAGTAATCGGCAATGTTCGGGCCCCGAGCTACATGACTGACCGTTCGACTACCAGAGCCACAACAAAACACACACGCACACAAGCAGTCACGCTGTCCTCCTCTACGTCTTCTGAAGCACTCTTCTAACCTCAACTCCCAGTCCAGCGCGCGTTCTATCGGACTACGAGAGATTCAACACTTCATTTTCACCACCGGAGAGAGAATCCAGCTCACTGATTGACACATCTAGAATAATCATAAGCCAAATAACAGCAGGACAAACGCCACGTTCACGCTACTCGACCATCTGCTTGCCTCGTCTGGCGAGTATCAGCGAGCGAGGGAGAGAAATGGTTGGCATGTAAGCAAGCGGGAAGGGTACGGACCCCCTGTCCCCCCCCCCTTCCCCATACCCGACCAACACTTGTTTACTCGGTTTGCGCTGATCAATACGGGCTCGCTGTTTGCTATCAGACAGAAACATACATGCTTATCGAGCAACGTAGCTGGGGAAAATAAATAGGTCCCGGCCTTCCCTTCCCTTCCTCATCTTTCTCTCTCTGTCTACGGCCCGGAGTCGGCCTCAACCTCCTCTTAAACAAACCGTATTATTATACCCTCCCGCCTTCGTCCCCCCCATCCGGACCCCTGATGCTTCGCATCGCCAATACAGAGATGTGCTTCTGACAGCTCTGCCATTTTTCTTGGCATTCGTGTACCCAGACAATGCAGGCAAGGTTAATTAATTATACTATCTAAACTGGTGGGAATAGTAAAGTTTTCAAAACTTTATTTACGTCTTCAATTTATTTTCGCTTCTGAGATGTCTTAAGTATTACCGCTAAAGTCTTTCTATATAATCTTCATTAAAATTATTATTTATATATTATTATATCACAATATGACGCAACTTTACCACCTCAAAAATTATTATTATTGAATTATATTACTTAGGTATCGTATTTAGCCAATTTATTTGTGAAACATTATTCAATAAATGAATTGAATTATTATTATAATTATTATTGAGTTGAATTATATTACTTAGGTATCGTATTTAGCCAATTTATTTGTGAAACATTATTCAATAAATGAATTGAATTATTATTATAATTATTATTGAGTTGAATTATATTACTTAGGTATCGTATTTAGCCAATTTATTTGTGAAACATTATTCAATAAATGAATTGAATTATTATTATAATTATTATTGAGTTGAATTATATTACTTAGGTATCGTATTTAGCCAATTTATTTGTGAAACATTATTCAATAAATGAATTGAATTATTATTATAATTATTATTGAGTTGAATTATATTACTTAGGTATCGTATTTAGCCAATTTATTTGTGAAACATTATTCAATAAATGAATTGAATTATTAATTTTCTTCTGACCTCGACGAATATTTCTGAACATATTTGCCACGACATTTGTCCCCAGTTTATTTTAAATTAGTTAACAAAAAATAAAAAAAAAAACAGAAAGTCTTCTCATCGGAATATCACTCGTACAATCCAAAGTTTCGGAGACTTTCTCTGACATCAGGGTCGAAGTTGACTGAAACATTCTCCGAAACGTCAGACTAAATCTGAACTTAACATAAAAATAATCTAAGAAAATCTGTAGAAGTTAAACTGGAAACCAAACACAGATGACTGGATAATTTTCACACTTGGGCTGTGACAACAAAAGTGCTGAATAAGCTTTCGCTGCATTTCGACAGAACAGAATCCTAAATATACCTAACAGTTAATTGCAAACGTCAAGACTCAGGTGTACGAAATTTTGAATGACATAACACATTTCTCGTTGTCTTCCTACACAAGTGCCTCGAAGCTTCGCAAACAAGGACTTGGACAAATATATTCGTTCACCTCTCTACCCTGCAGAATAAGAAATCAGAGGTAAAATGGGACAAGGAGGAAAAAGAATGTGGCTGAAATTAAAGGAATATGAAGAGAAGTTAAGGACGAAGACAGAATAAATGAAAGTAGTACGAATGAAGGTCCACTTAACCCCTTGAAAGTAAGAAAGTCGAAATTATATTTAAGAAATCAGTCCGTACCGCGAAGAAAACACATCTCTTTACCATTACAAAGTTTAACTGGTTGACGCTGTTTAAGGAAATAATCGATGTTTACAGTGAGAATCATACGAAATGAAGACTTATCGATTACTGAAGCAGTCTTTCTACGAAGTGAGGATTTGAAGTGTGACTTGAGACAACGCGAAACACGAATCAGTTTAAAATCGGCCCAGATATTTAAATGAAGAATTATAACGGTAACTCACATGACACAGATTACGTAGTTCCCCCTTTGAATGTCGTCCAACAGCTAATTTTTTGTGTGGACACTCTGGAAGAACCTGTTTTTCGAAACTTGGACGTGGAACTTTGACAAGACCTTCGGTGGTGTTCTGAGTGCCCCTAACAGATAGTCGAAAATTTACCTACCAGGGTTCCACGGTAATTTCACACATCCTGTGTCAATAAATTTTTCCACAGTTCTCCAAATGGTCGCAGAGCCTTTAAAAATCCCTGTAGATTACTGAATAATTCTGTGTTTTCAAATTGTGACGTGCGTAAATATAGAAATATTGGAGTGTGACTGAGTCAACGAGGCACGGATGGATCATGGATGCTTACAAGCTACAGGACACTTACTCATCACGTCCACAACTATCACAAATCCAGCTACCAACCTTGACAAATAATAACCATGCTTCATTCATGTTGTACAGTTGTAACTATGAGCCTGCTTCAGAGACATTTTAAAACACCCTGTACCTACGAGTAGACTTAATAACTTTTGCGACCATCCCAATATGCACACTTTGACCTGTCGAATTCTTCGATGCTGTTTGCTTGTTTATTCAACGACACTTCATTAACTACTTCAGTTACTTAGCATTAAGCAGAGTGATTATGAGTGACACTGTGGAAAACATGGTGAAGCAAGCGTTGTGGCCGATTTTAAAACTGTATGTCAATATCTGACTGGAGAGTGAAACATGGATTGTAAATAAACTACCACAGAGCCAATCTCCGGACCAAAGGACCTCCCGAGTGCTGTCATCGCTACGCTATGCTCCGTCCTCCAGTGCACCAATGAGCCGATATAAATCTGTCTCTCTCGGTAAAATTATTGACACCTTAAAGTCTATATTCCGGCTTGTCCGTGGAACTCAATGTAAGAATGGAATATGTACATCTGACGCTGAAGTTTTAAAAGGTTGCTATCTGTTAAATGATTATTTAAAATACGTAAATGACTCTACACATATGTGACTTGGGTCTTGCGTGTTGTCTCGTAGGCATGGTTTAAAATTACAAGGCAAACGTCTATATAATTCTGAGACGCATGCAGGTCCATTGAGATTATTTGACTTAATACACTGTCAAATTGACTTTTTACCTTGCGTGACTGTACGTGTGTGCACATGTGACTATAAAGACAACGGAGAATGACGTTTCCGACAAATTATGTTGTTAAAATTATAAATTATTTACCGTTCTTCAAGGTAGTTAAATACAATTTACGACGACCAGTGTACTTATCCCAGTTACAGGTACCTCGAATATGAAGTAGAAGGCGAAAATAACCGCCGAAACAAATATATTTTGAATAATCAGTTATACCGGGTGTGCCATTTAAAACGCAACGCAAAACCGATCACGAAATACGGCACAGAATTTAAATCAGAATCAGGTACCTTCTTACTCTCAAGTCAAGGTAATGTTAGTTACTAGTTTTCTATTCTTAGTATGTATTTTTCCCTTTGCTTTAATTCTTTGTACAAAGTGCAAACAGGAAAATAATCAAACTTGCACACACAACGAGTAATAAAAAATGTTTCAACACATAGAATGTTTGTAGCTAATTAATTTTCAGTCTGCTTTTAGCGTCAATTTGATCGGTATATCACGCGTGACCTTGAAATATCCTTTCACTCCGTAACCTACTCAATACAGGACCGGCTGAGCTATGCAGGGAGAGTATTGATAAGAATTGGACTTAATTGGGTCCAGTGAGACCCGTATTTCGATTCAATAAGATCAGATCGATTCTTATCGAACTGATGAAGATATCAGCACAGTGTGACTTAAGTTCACATGTTTAATAAACAGGCAGTAATGTGTCTTTCAACCAGCTAAAAAAAAGTTGTCAGTGGAACCACGGTTTCGGAGAATTAGACGTAAATACGTCTATACGGAAAGGAAGTTTACATATTGGCTTTATTTTAAATATTTCCTTTATACATGCTTTACAATTGAGATAAGTTTGATTAACACATTGCTTAATCAACTTGAATTAGTTATGCTTAAGATGGGTCTGTGGTAGCTGAATGTAATGTAATGTAAAGTAATGTAATGTACTGTGGTTTCCAAGGTAACCATTGTTGTTTATTTGATGATAAACAGATGACGTTTCCCAGGTAACATAACAATGAAGTTAACTTTTTCGTTCCCTTTTTTTGTAACACTTTTTCGTATTTTTGCCGAATGACACTGACCCTAAAATATAGACGTATTTACGTCAAAAACAAAATTTGATTCCACTCGCAATCACAACCAGAAAATTCAACAACAAATAAAATATATTGCCATGTGCAAGGTTTGTTTTCAATATGACACCAGACTAATGTAGTAGATAAACTAGAATGTTTAGAACAGACAAAATAACACTGTAATCACTCTTACATTTCCTCTGCAAGAAAATCCTCCCCCCCCCACCCCCCTCCAAACTCCCCTTGCATTTCATATTCAAGATGGAGTTTCAAGCTGAATCAACAAGGCAAGCATTCAAGAACAATGGACTACTGGAAAAACCAACATTATCATGTCAGACTGTTTTGGTGGACTGTTTCATTCAACGACAAATATTTAATTTTCGTAGCAACTACCATATATCTAACATAGCCACCGCGAGGTTTTGCGCAATGCTGTTTCTTGCTGGGCTGTGTGAGAGCTACACAATGCAGGGCCGCACACCTCCCCCCACCTCCCCCCCATCTCTTCGGCACCCATATGGGGCGTTCATCATCGTCCTCACTCACAACAGTCCATCCAAGAACTCCTCACCTCCCAAACAGCATGCATTCGACGTTATTTTGTGAGTAAACAATGGCTTCCTGGAAATGTGGTCTGTGTCCACACCCTAGCATAAACACGGACCGAAAAAAACCATTACAAATAAACTGAGCGTTTAATGCAAATTCCAAACGTCTTCCTTGGGGTCTGTGTGTTTGGCGTTCGTCGTCTCGCTCTAAAGCCAAGAAC